TCTTCTTCTTCTTCTTCTTCTTCTTCTTCTTCTTCTTCTTCTTCTTCTTCTTCTTCTTCTTCTTCTTCTTCTCTTTCTTCTCCTTCTCCTTCTCCTCCTCTTCTTCCTCCTCCTCCTCCTTCTCCTTGGAAAAACTTGCCTCCAGAAGTTGTGAATGCTCCAACACTGGAAGTTTTTAGGAAGATGTTGAATAACTATTTATCTGAAATGGTATAGGGTTTCCTGCCTAGGCAGGGGGTTGGACTACAAGACCTCCAAGGTCCCTTCCAACTCTTGTTATTCTATTCTATTCTACTCTATTCTATTTTAATATTCTATTCTATTTCCATTCTTCTTCTTTTCTTCTTCTCCTCCTCCTCCTCCATCATCATATTTTAACCTTTCTAAATAACAGTATGTCCATAAAGTTTAACTCAATTGCATAAATAGTATTGCATTAAAATCTGCATTGAATAGCACAACACATCAATTCAAAACACCACATTTTTTTTAAAAAAGGACAGCTATTATACCACCTTGTACCCTTGATGGGAAGGAGAAGCAGCTATTTGGCAGGTTTCCAAACCTGGAAAGAATCTGAAAGAATTTGGTTGGGATTCAGTTCACGTACCTGGGAGTCGGTGAGGGTACCCCAAAATGGGTACCGAAATCAAGAGGGAACCGGCGCCAGCGCCTAGGAATCCAATCCACCATGCTCCGACCCACAGGGAATTGTCGGGTGTAATATCGATTCTGGGAATAAAGCCAGGAAAAAAGCCATAAACTTCCAGAAATCTAATCAAATCGGTCTCTCTAACTTGGAGATAAAGCGAATGCAAACAAGTGTGAAATGTAGCCGTTTCTTTCTTCAAAGATATATTAGTTCCTTAATTGCTTGGGAGAAATGATTCAAGTGAGACATTGTTTTCGTAAGGGTTACAAACTGGGCACCAACGGAAAAAATAAATCAAAGTCGTTGTACTTGGCTTTAGACAGAGCTAAAGGATAATGACAATAACAACAATGAAGCGCGCACACATACATGCATGCAAACCAAATGAGAGTGAGTCTCGGACTAGCTTTTCCCACCCGGCTAAAGACGTGTTGGGACTGCATTTGACAACCGGAGATAGCAATAACAACTGTGTTCATGATAATCACAGTTCCAAGGATAAGAAAAAGAAAGAAAACGAACTGTGTAAAGTTTCCAGATGGACTTCCAGATCTAGGGCTCCCTTTTTACGACCATTTACTCTCTTAATTCAGCACAGAGTCAGGGCGACTGGATGGAGCTGAGCATTAGCTGGCTGGATGCCCTTCCCGATGCCTATGTGAAGTTCACAGCAAATATTTTCTTTCTTTGTGCTCGAGGAGAGAAATCTCTGCTGCCACCTAGGATTGAACTCTCAACCTTCCGAGTGGGAGGTGAGCGTCTTCACCACTAGGCCGCCATGCCACTCAGATGGACATCTAGGACTAAACTAAGCATTTTAAAGATCCCCTTGCTGCATCTTAAGCTCATAAAGTGGCAGAACAGATGCGATCTTTTAATGTCATGTCAACCTTGGGACTCTCCTGACTGAAGCCATTTTGTCTACTTCAGTTTTGCCACACTGGAGCTGAGGGTCGGGGAGGGGGGATTTGAGAGAGAGGGATTTTTGTAGCCAAAACAAAATATTTTCTCTTAGGAACCAAGGACATTCTCATACCTGGTTGGAAGAAGGTGGAGGGATGCTACCTGGTTGTCGGACTGCACGATGATTGGACCACGTTACTTTTAATCAGGTGAAAACCGTGGGAGTTTCAGAGTTGGTTTTCACCAAGTATGTGCCAATAAGATATCTCCAATGCAATTAATATTTGAGGAACTCAATTGCCTCGGAGTCTTGCTTGCAATAGATTTATTACTTGGAACCCTGCCATGTAATCAGATAAACGACTCAAGTGGCTATATGGTAGGAAAGTTAAAATGACAAAGTACAAAAAGAAAGGAAAGTGAAAGATGCCACCTAGTAAAAAATGTCTAAGGCTAATTGGAGGACTTTAAGCTTACAGGCAATCCTCAAATTATGACCATTTGTTTAGTGATTGTTTGAAGTGATACCCGCACTGAAAAAAGTGACTTATAACCAGTCCTTGCACGTGTGATCATTGCAGTGGCCCTGTGGTCACTTGAGTGGTGGGTTGCTCCCGGTTCGTCCTGGTTTGGCTGAACTGGTAGTAGTGGTGGCAGGAGGCCCCACCCACCAACCCGGACGCTTCGGTGCATGCGCAGAAATGCTGCGCGTGCCCGGGAACGTGCCCAATATAGTAAAAATATTTGCAACCCACCACTGGGTCACATGATCAAAATTTGGGGGGCTTGGCAAGAGGCATGGATTTATGACCGATGAAGTATCCTGAGGTCACCAGCGACCTGCAGTCACTAGAGGCAGGGGAGGCGTGGCCTCACCAGTCATGAGGAAAAGGAATTTTAAAGAATTTTTTAAAAAATAATTAAAGCCAAGGTAGTTGCTACCAGATTCACAGTGACTTGGCTTTAATTATTTTTTAAAAAATTC